CCTGCCCACTCCCCATGCTCTCAGGGGCAGCCCCATGCCAACGTGGTGCTCACCTCAGCAGCGGGGCAGAGCTAAGGGTACTCTTGACTCACATCTGCTCTCACAACTAGATCTGGAAAGCCCCCTGGGGGTTATGGCCTTCCTGCTGCAGGAGGGACAGTAGCTCTTACCAGTTTGATCACCAGTGAAGTTCTTTGCTGCAACACTCAAGTCTTACCCAACTTGAAAGAAGCAGGCAGTGCTGGAGCTGGGGCCTGGCCCCAATGTCATGAATGGCAGGTCTGCCCTTGGCTTGGAAGCCCAAAGCATGTTCCTTTCTCCTCTAGGTAGTTCAGACTACGCATCAACGACCAGAGCCACGGAGGAGTCCTGTCCACAGCTCAGCAGAGACTGCTGCAGAGGCACCCTGCATCCACATTGGCAATGTCTTTTTCCAGTCCTCGCCATGGACTCAGCTCAGTAGAGCAGGTGTGCAGTGGTGATAGCTGCCATCTGCACCCAGAAGCACCTGGCTGGGAGAAAATCAGAACAATAGGCAGCTTAAAGATTTTGGAGATGAAACCAGAGACAGTCATTGCTGAGAGGACAAGAAAAATGAGACTGCGGCAGCCGTCATGTCTGTTTGCTGAGAAAAGACCTTTCCCTGAGATTCTGGCAATCAGGGTGATCAGGAACCAAACGATTTGGCTGACATCACTTACTTAACGCAAGAGTGCAAGAGAAGACTTGCATATTTGCTTTCCAGAAGAATACCCACTGAATTCACTTCGCTGAAAGGCAGAACACTCAGCTGCTGGTACAGTTGTGTGGATTTGGTAGAGTTCCCTGGCCTGGGCACTTGCTGACTTGCCACGCTGACATTTCCTCCCACTGAAGACCGACGTGCTTTTCATCTCCCACCGGTGTGCAGGGTTGTGGTGTTGACTTTTCACTCAGCGAGGCTGTGGGGTGCGAGCTCCCTGCCAGCTCTTCTGCCTGCTACAGCAGAGCTGTAACCTTGGCAGCACAAGGGATTAATGATCCTTATTTAGGGACATGTGTGAGTTGCAGAAATTAAAGAACTGAAACTCAATCTTTCTTTAATTTAGGCAGGACAGGTAACAGACAGATGCACGTAATGCAGACACCGATATATATTTTCCTGTCTCGGTCTGGAAGTGCAGTATCATCCATGCAGCACAGCTGACTTCCAGTATCATGGATTTATTTGTATATTATTATTTTTTTTAAAAAATCTAACCTCTACAGGTAGTTCCAATCTGTTATTCTGTCACTCAATGACTGGTACAAGATCCCAACCCCCTTTTTTTTGCCAGGTAACAACGGAAAGCCTCCTGAAGCAGCCAAGTATCACCCCCTTTTGCTCCTCATTCACAACCTTAACCACATCACCCTGGCAGTCAGAGCTGCCATACTGTGTGGGCAGTGGTCACCTCTTTCCCACGGCAGCTCTTTGTGGCATGGATAGCTGCTGGTAGGTGAATTTTGACCAGCCATTTAATGGTTGATCCTATGGTAGGCACCTAAACCTCCTCCCACTATTTCTTCTTGATCTTTAGTTCAAAAAGTAGATAAAAGACAGCAAAAAAATAAAATTGTTCTCTGTTTCATCCCATTACCCTGTCTCTCTCTATATATAAAAAAAATATAGCTGAAGAGTATTTCCTGGTAGAAGAATCAACACATTTACTACTATAAATTCAGCATCCCCTGACCTGATAAAAGCAGGGCGCTTTCATCTTGCACTGCTCGAGGCACTAACTTCTGCCCTAAGGAACTGCATGCAGTTCGCATTCTCTACCAGCAGAACACAGTAACTTACTCCATCGAGCGTCCTCCAGGAAAGCAAGAACATCACCTTGACTGACCAAAAGCTCTTCTTGTGAAGCAGCAGGTTTGCACAGATAAACCAGGGTACACGATAGGCTGGTCCTGCACAGGCTGGGGCTCATCTTATGCAGTGGCTTTATGTAACGGAGGTGATATGTGCCAGAAGTACTTTTCCCCTAAAAGCTGGGCTCTTCATTGAAAGTTAGCTAATGTCTGAAGGACAAAAAATACTACCTTGTCGAGAAAAAGTCTGGCATCAATAATTATGATAATTCTGGAAATGCTATCAATTTTCATTGATACAATGATCCATTTTCCTTTGAAATCTTGCTTAGCTTTTCTCCTCAAATTACCTGTGGTGGGAGTGAGTGCCATTGATTTCATGAAAAACATTTCTATTGGATTCAAATTTGTCACCTCTGCTTTAAAGACAAATGAAAAAACTGGGCCAATAAAGCTACAAGACAAAAATAGAAGTTCTCCATCCATTTTCTCGGCATTAGTCATAACTGTAGCTATTTTAATCTCTCATTCTCTTCAATCTCTCTATAATATTTCTGCTGTTTCATTATTTTTGTTATCATTTTCCAAACCCTATGGGACTTGCAATATAAAGTGTTTGCCCACAATGTCCAGAGCTCAGTCCTGGACTAATCCAGGTAATTTTAAACAAGTACTTTGCTTTCTCTAGCTATGCCATCCTTTACATTCAAAATTGAACTTCATTTGTCACTGTAATCCATTCCATGAGCTTGATAAGGTACCACTAAATTTTCCTTATTTTTTGTGAGTTTAACTTCAAGAATGTTCACCATTTTCTATTTCACTAGTAATTTCTTTTCCAGATGAATTAAAAAAACCCCAAACTTACCCATTTTTTAAAAAAATGCAGAAGTCAATAATAACTATTGGAAAATCAGAGCATAAAAAGGTTTTTCTACTTTTACAATCTAGTATAATAAATTGGTAAGCAAATTAGCTCCTTACACTGTAAACCTCTTCACAGTTATGTACACGTGGCACAGGACCAGTATGCTACTAACTTAGGAGGATTTTTATCAACTTTTTATCATGAACCATACGTTACTGTCAGCCTCCTGAATAACAACAAAGGTCTTCTACTGTGCTCTGAAAATAAGCCACAAGTTGTGGCCAAAGCAAGTATCTAAGAAGAATCCAAGTACTTCAGAAGAAATAAGGAACTCTCCTTTAAGAATCTTAATAGATCTTGGCATTTCCTCTGATTTAAGCACAGATGTCCCATTGGTTTCAATGTTGCAGCTGCTGTTAATGGTCAATTCAGACAGCACATATAACCCCAACTCTGCTTAAGTTTACCCATTTAATTAGCATAAAGTCAGTGAGAGAGTTTTAGATGGAGAAGTATATACATCCTCCTATTTCCTTCTTGAAGGAAGATCTGTAGCTTTACTTCCCCAAAAAGACGCAGGAGGAAATCCTGACTTTTGGCCAGCCCAGAAACAGCCACCTTCCTTCTTACCTGTAAGAGAAGGAGGCAGCTTTTTCAGAGCACCGTGTATTTCTCTTCTAAATTAAATCACTGTTCCTCCTGTTGTAAATGCAGTGTACCACAGAAAGCAGACTGCAGAGACCACCACTGCACTGTTAATATAGATGCAGCGCCGTAGCAAAGCCTTTAATGTGGCCATACTTTCTTCCTCCAGCAGCTGAGCTAATCCCGAAGTGTTTCAACAGTCATGTTTTTGCTATCATTTAAGAGTAGTTTCACTGCTACCAGATATTATTTCTCACATGTGTAAATATTAATTTATGACTAATAACACACATAATGGTATGAGAGACAGATGTGATCCCTTCATGGTATTTCAGAATATGAAGGGCTTCGATTCATCTTCTCCTTCCCTTCCTTCATGACATCTATTAACTCATCCAAAGGGAAAATACCATTTCTAGCTAACAGTGAAAATCAAATGTCAAACTCTTCAACATATTATAAGCCCATCCAGCAGCCTGACGCTGCAAAGACTTAGCTTTAACCTTTATGAGCTGCAAGTATCCTCTCGACTCCAATCAACGCAGAAGAGAAGCAAATGCATGAACTTTAGCAAGGCTGAGGAATCTGGGATTAACAGCTACTGCTTTTCTTTTGGCAAATACACAATCCACAATACAAAGCATCCACGGAAAAAAGCACAAATCTTTTAGCAATTCTCCCCCACAGTTTTCCACCCCTCCTCACACCACAACAGAAATGCTCTGCAATGGGCAGAACTCTTGACAATTTGTAGGAAAATGAAGGTAAGGCTTCTACCCACTTTATGCAGGAGTTATTTTGGCAAGCTCACGCTTTAAATGCCAAGAAGCATTTAAGGATTTGCTCGGACACGCGCATATATGAACCTTATTCATCTCAACAAAAGGGCACATACTTTGCTATTCAAGCTCGCCAAATATTATAACTAGAAACTACCAGATTTTCATGTATTTCTACTGCATTAAGTACCTAGCTACTTTTTCAAACCAAGATTACATTCTGAACATTCATTTTTCAACATCAATGCATCTGAAAGACTCTAACTAACAAAACATGTCCTTCCTCAGCCCCTTTATTTTTCCTTCTATTGTCATAACCATTTCCTATCTGAGGTGGTGAGCATTTTGGAAAAGAGAAGTGTCATTTTATAGTTAAAGATAACATGCTCCTAGTAGCTTCCTCAAGCTGACATTTATCAACGTCTTTTTTTTTCTTCTTAATAAGGTTTGTGTCCCTCCCAAGATTCATTCAGGCAATGAGCACACAATTCTGTCATCTCAGCTCCCAGCACCCCAAGAGGTATGTGTGTGTGTGCTCTTCGCTGTAAGTGCATGAAGGCTACAAAAACTTACAGTCTGAGCACATAACTTCTGTGAGGTACACTACGGTGTGACACAGCTGGGTCTTTGCAACTGCAACTGTCTGTGCTCGCATTCTTCTCCAACAGGAAAAACCCTCTAAGCCACTTCTTCTGACGTGAAAGGAAAACAAAACTGAAGTGATAAATGCCATTAGCAGTTCTCAGCTGGTTTTATGCCCTCTCCCCCTTTTTTTTTTTAGTAAGCAAAATGGAGTCCTTACTTAGTTTACAGATTAAGAAATATTATTAAAAGTAGTTACAGACCCAATTATAACCCTTCAAACACCACCAAAATGCACTACAATGTTCTTTTATTTAGTTTACAGAAGAGTCTATCAGTACAGGTTGCAGAAAGAAAATGTTTAGTGCTATTTACAATTTGTTTTAAAACTCTGCTCTATACAAATTTAATTCTGATCAGTATGAACAATATTTTCGTAAATCTACTGCATATAAAGCATTTCATCAAAGCAGTAACAATGAATAAAATAACCTGATTACATTTGAATGATGCCAATCATTCGAAAAAACGATACACGGAACATCTGTAAGAGTTGTGGACACTTAAGTACAGAACACAATGTCAACCTGTGACTCCTTTTTTTTTTAAAGGCTAAAGCTATTTATATGGAATATTGTTCTATTATACTACACGCCAATCTATATTTAACTTCTATAGTTATGTATTTTATAAGACTTTTATTAAATATATTCTACACATATTTGTAATTTCACCCAGGAAGAATTCCTCCCCAGTGAAAAAATATAAAATCTTTAATAGTTTTTAATTTTTTTTTACAGGTTTAGATGAAACTAGCTCATGCTTTAGTGCTGTGCAAATTTCTTTAGCATATCAACGTTTAAATTATTGATATGAAATAAAAGAATGGCATTCTTTTTAATTATGTATGCCTTAAAAAATCAGCTTCTGATTTTAATACAATTGCAAGCACTAATACCAAATGCAGATTACATAAAGAAACAAAACTAGTACTATGGCAGAGGTTTTTCTTTTTGCTTTTTAAACTTTAATAATTCTTTTGAAGTCTCTAATGAGTAAGCATGACACTGACACTAAGGTACAGATGAGAAAATGACTGAAAAACACCAGTTGCCAATATTCAAATACGTAAAATTGATTAGTAAATTATGTTTTCTAACATTTATGCACAATAATAAAAGCCTATGAACTACAGGAAATTACCCCTCCCATATTAAGGCTAGGAAATGCACTCTCTGCACTTGTTTGTGCTGTCGGAATAAGCACTCAACTAACGCACGAGATCAGAGTGCACGCAGTAATGAAAAAATCAGTTCCATCAGCCCTCTACAGAGTGCTTTTAAATTACAGGCACATAGTTTTTTTGTTTGTTGCAGTGAAGATATATATAGTTAGACTTGGTTTAGTTAGTATTCTGTGCCAGTTTGGCCACCAAGGTTGACTCAGGTAGAATTGACGTAACAGTTTTTCCTTTGATTTGGCCATAAGTGAGATTTGTTTTAATTACAGATATACCATTTTCCAGTGTTGCATTACACATTGTAGGTTATTACTAGGTGTCTCAAACTTTGTTAGAGATTGTTGATGAGAAATATACTGTCAACCATATTTAGTGCAAATTGCATCTAGAAAGCTTGACTGGTTAGATCCAGTTAATGGAGATTTTTGTGGTAGCAAAATGATTCCTGCTATGGAAAAGAACACATTAATTTTTCTGGAGATTTAATTCTTTCAAGAACTGATGTACTATAAGATTATTTAACAAACAAAAAAGCAGGAATTAAAAAAAAAAAGTAATGAAAGTGTTCATAGATCTTTCTCTCTTTTTTTTTTTTTTAAAAAAAAAAAAAAAGACTGATGAGACAGTGTTCATGTAATATTTCAGTTCCATGGATTTACAGACAGGCTCTTCCTACAGGTGTCTGAAGCAAGGTAGGGCCTCTTCTATTCCAGCAGCATGAAAGACAAAGACTATATTACATCACACTTAGCAGGTAAAGCTAACAGGGTTTACAGGATTACACAGCAATTGCTTTCTCCAGTTTTTTCACGGTTCCTTTGACCTGTGGAGCAAGAAGAAAGATTTGCTTACATGCCATTTCTAAAGCAATTAGGTTTTGTGTGTGAGTATGCTTGATACAAGTATGGTTTTTATTATTTTAGTAAAAAAAAAAAATCTATTATTATACACATGTATACATAACTGAAAAATAAGCCAGGAGTAGTTTTTAACAACAAAAACAAAAGCTTTTAAGGTTTGAGTAAATTTATGCATTCTACAGAAACACTAAACCAGAAAGTTAACTTCTTAGTTTCCTAGAGACAACATGCACAAAAGCATTCCATGACTTGCTTCACAAAAGACCACAAGGTTTGACTTTTCTCTACTATGAAATACTCAGAAAGCCTGTAAGAGATCTGACCACTTTGCCGTGTACTTGAGTAAGAAATACAGCGTACCTTGAGAGTTTGGCTCTGGTAATGTCTCTCTAGCCACCAAATGCATCACTGTTGTTTTGCCAAAAGGAAGTTTTAATGCTGCAAAAGGAGAAAAGGAGATTTACTAATACATTACAGCAGTCGTCTTTCTTTAAAACACCCAACTGAAACTAACTATAATTGGATTAGCATCTGTTCAAAAGTTCATACTATGAGGTTTGAACTGCTTACTAAATAGATTTATAAAGGCTATTCTGGCTAAAGTTTTGTAGATCAGAGTCTTGGGACCTGATAACAATCACTTAGCACATTGTGTTCTTAGAGACATGATATTCCTGTTAGGAAATTTAGCATTCCTCTTTTGAGTAGAAGTGGGCATTCATTCAAGACTCAGGTGCTAAGCACTCTTGATTGATAAGGATGCAAAGAAAGTGGCTAATTCAGCCACTAACTTGTTACTCCTGAGATATCAAAACACTGAGCCACTAAGGCAAAACAGATTTTCCTAAAACATACTTTGCTCCACGATATAGATGTTCCAAAATATAAAATGTCTGCATCTTGCCTTTAAATATTACTCTGTAACATCAGCTGCATGTGAAAAAAAGCAGATTTAAAACATTTTAAATTAGATAAGGTAGTTCTCACAATGGTGCCTTTGTGAGCTTTAGTAACACAAAATAACAAAATTGGAGCTTTCCACAATTCGTTCTGCTTGTTTCTGAAACGAAAATGATAATTTTCACATTCTGATTTAAGCATACCAAGACAGTGATGTATTTATGGTTTTAGCACTGTAGTATAATATTTATAAAAAATTCTAGTCTCCTTGAAATGAAAAGATTCTCTGTTGCACATGATATCTAGCAGATTCTCATTGCCAGATTCATTATTCTGAACTTCAACTTTTCCAATTATTTGGCTGGGGGGAGGAGGGGGTATTTTTATAAGTTTTTTACATAACTTTAGCTTTGTTTCCTCTCTCCAACTCCTAAGATTAAGCATCTTTCTTGATTATTTTTTCTAAGAAATGTAAGATAAAGATGCTCTGCCTAAGTTTTGTCTTCCCCACCCCTTTACAGAGGAAAACCAGTTAGCGATAAATGTAAAAAGAATTTAACCCTAAATATACAAATCATTCTGACTTGAGTAGAATTTGTCCTCTCAAATTCTACAAACTTGTCCTCTCAAATTTACATCTTCTACTGTCACATACAGTGCACCGAGGCATTTAAAGTGAATAAATGAATAATGAATGTCCAATAAACCTGAAGGTAACTGAAGAGAAAAAGGCCTAATTTTAATCACTACAGCAGAGATTCAGAATTCAGTACAGGTATTCAATACAAGCCTACCTACAATATTGCTATTATATCATGTTCATTGTCTGTGTATCTGTTTGAAAAAATGCAAGTTACGATTAAAACACGTGTGTTTAAAGCATAGGGAGGGATACACAGTTCCAGAAGCTTCTTTGATGTAACTGCACTTTGGGAAAAGCCATCTCTATAGAAAGCCAGATCTGAAAGTTGCTTAGTTTATTTGATGAACTGTCTGTGTCTGCAACTAGAAGCTACTGATAGCTTAAAGTCTGACAAGGATGAAGTATTTTGGGTACTTTGTTCTGTGATAGAACTGAAAACTCTGCAAAGAACATATTAACAGTCTGTTAAACTTAATAGAAGAGGATTGTCTTCGTGACATAAACTCTTAAGAAGCCATTACAGAAAAATATTACAACTAATATTACAAACTAATCACACTAGGGACATCTCTCATAATATCAAGGCACTTGAGGAGACTTGATTAGTGAGCTGTGGAGATTAATTATTTACAGTGATCAAGTAAAAGTGTGCTCATATTTCAATTAACTAATTTCAGCTAGTAGTTTGCATAGTTCTTATGCAAACTACTAGCTGAACACAAGTTCTTATTAGCAATTTCCAGCTTCTTGCTTGGAGCACCAAGACAGAATCTGAGCACTCTAACCTATGCTCAGTAATCCTTTCTTGCTCTTGTCTTCATTCCCTCACCCCTTGCTCTCACTTAAACTAAACTTGCATTTAATTCCTTTCCCATTTGTTTAATTCCACTTTTATTACAGATTTTCTGTTGTCAGAATTCACTTTTCAGCCCCTCTTTTGGCATGTGTCTGGCACAGGGTGGGTTGGCTTCCCTTCCCGCCTCCCCAATAAATAAGGAAGTAGAATGTTGCTGATTACCATTATCTAACAAGACTTTGAGAACTGTCACCTCCCCAATTAATATTATTTCAAATGCAAACTGCAGACCAAATATTTAGCTGAAGGATGAAATTTCCTATTGGAAGGTGAACAACAGACTCTGCCTTGCTAGCTTCCTTGTCAACACTTCACACAGGCAGGACACAACAAAACAGCAGGGCTCAAGCACCTCAGGCAAGAGTGGCACAGCAAGCTCTGCAGAGGGGTCTATTTTTCTTTACCACTTCCAATGCCATTAACTCTACTGTTCTTCGAGTGACAGTCCTTTCAGAGAAGCTGGCAAAGGAGATGGTTTCTTTAAAATATTTTTTTCCACTCAAAAGACAGTTTTTCCTATCAATTTGTCATTTTTTGATGCTTCTTAGTTTAAAAGACTCTCAAATTCATAAGATACTATGTACCTGTGAGTTACCTGTACCTGTAACCTGGGAGGTTACAACTAGAACATTACAATGCCATTTTTAAATGTGAACAAAAATGGACTCCTGTTAAAAAACACCAAACTGTTTCCTTGGAAACTTTTGTTTCACTAGTTGATAAAAGTGACTTTCAGTACACAGAAGGTCCAAATTCCAGTCAATATTTCCTAAGCACCTAAAGCAAATAAAACACTAAGTGCTATAACTCAGTTATAGAGAGCTGCAGAAAGAAAAACTTAATGAAACTGTATTATAACAGCATAAGAAACAAAATATTATATTTAGCAAGACATTCTCTCCCCCCCACACCCCACCCCCCCCTTTTAAAGATAACTAGTTCACTTAGGGTTACATCTAATGAACACCACAAACTGAAGCAACAGTCTTTTCAGGTTGCTTCATGAATTGCTGTTTCCCCTTTCAGCTGTATCATCTTTGTCCAGATAACTTCAGTAGTACTGAAGTGAGCCAATGTTTTAGGGATTCTTTTTCTTAAAACAATATAGCAACAAAAAGATCTTTGAAAAACACTAATATACATATAAGATCCTTAGGGTAAAATCATGGTGATTAAATTGCAACGCATGAATGATTAAGAATGAACTAAAATGCCCTGAACCCAAGTAAGTGTTCCAAATCCATAGACCTGAGTGAATGCAAGAGTCAACAGCATGCAGCTATTATTCTTCAGCTTAACTTGTCAAACTACATATTAAATATACTAAACAAATATTCAAAGCAGTTTCGGATTTAGGCAAATGTCACTAAAGGGAACAAGCACTGGTGGCCAAGAGCAACATCCGGAGATGAATGGGAAAGAAAATCCCACTTAGCTATCCTTGCCTAGAAAATGTAGGATAAAACCAGCATCTCTAATTGCAGAGATGATCCAAGACTTAACATTTGTCTTTCAACTCTAATCCAACTGCTACTAGCTGCACTCATTGGCACCTGGTAAACATACAGATTAAGGAGTGAATAAAAATTTCAGCCTTCTCCCAGCTGAATTGACAATGATCTTGTTCATATATAAAGCAGTATTAAAAACTGATTTATATGGACAGTAAATCTATTCTAAAAGTGCATCGCTAGCCAACATCAGTAATGGTAAAAAGCGAGTCAATGGCTCTATCATCCCAGCCACGTCTTCCTGTAAAGAACACCATAAACAGTCCAGAAATATTCTTTTCAGGTTCATCTTAACTTCAAAAACACGTCATTGCTGATTTTTGTATTATATCCTCCTCTCTGTATTATACTCAAGTACCAACTGCGTGAACAATCTGAACACACAGAGGAAACAGAAGTATCAGTTTATTTTCAAACTGGCACATAGAAGAGAGTTTCATTTTGTTTAGTCACTGATAGAATTGGTATTCACACTGGCAACTTTTATCTACAAAAGGAAAGTTTATTGTTACAAATCTGTGTCGTATCTCTATCAGACACCCATCAAAATACATAATAGTGGGGGAGAGCTTGCCACAAGGGGGCACAGCCGAACAGCATTTCCTTAGCACATGACCGAAGCCATTTACTTTTGTTTTCGCATAACTATGCAATTGTATCCCTGGGAGAGCACTGGACAGCAAGAATGCTTCCCCTCATTCTCATTCACAGGGTGTCTTCCTTCATTGCACTAAGGTTTAAATTATTGTTTCACCAATTATCATAAAGTTTATCAAACATTTCAAAATACATTCATGAAGTAGCTTACCCTACCCTGCAAATGCAGTGTAAGAGAAGTGGAACAAAATATTCCATTTCCATTTAGAAAGATAACAAATAAAAGCAGCGTTACTGTTTCTTTATGCAAGAGGAGACTTGACTGAGCAGGTAGTACCTTCCAAAGTTTAACAACCAGCAGTAACAAGATGGATTAAAAATACAAGATAAGACACAATATCACTCTATGCAAAGGAAAAATAGTATATAGCAAGCCATATTGTGATCCTGAGCAGTAAGGCAGTATTTACTGCACGGTAAAGAAATATCCCCTTTGTCTGGCTGTAACATGCAAAAAATCATTTTCATACCTCCTAATGTCACATTGCCATGAAGAAACCTCCCTTGATAAATAAGCCGCAAGATATTTGGACTGCTGACTTGTTCTTCTTCCCAATCTGAAAAGAAGTGAGAGAATTTTCACAGATACCTTGTAATAAAAACATCTCTTGTTACTTCTCTCACCTTTACCCAGGAAGAAAGCTAAGAACAGGACTCTTTTGCATAAAACACTAGGGAGAGAGCATAGGCTAAAGATACAGAAAGATAATTCAAGGCTGGCACTCCTGAAAATCTAAAATCTATTCTTAAATTTATTATTTGACACTGGGCATTGAAACATATAATTTTATGCCTGCAAGTATAAATATTACTAACTTACTTCACAGATTGCATGACATATTTAGTACATATACAAGTCCTACACAAAATATTTCATAAATGCAAGCTGTTTCCTAAGGCTTAGCATCCACTTGGCTAAAATTGCCTTAATTTCTTCCCATTCAGAAGATTCCCAAGCCACACTCCTCCTCACCAGCTCACTGTCTAACCAGAGGCGTTCTCCAGCAATGGGAATCAGCCACATACAGAGCAAAAGCCCATGTGATGGGTCATTTGAAATAGGATTCTCATATCGCAGCACTGAAAATGCTCTTCAGGCTGCTCGGCGGCGTTCGACGGTGGCCAGATCCAACCAGTTAAATGTCCAGAGGGAGCAGTGACCTGAGCAGCCCCGAACGGTCACTGCGGGGAGCCTGAACAGAGGCTCTCACAGAGGAGACGCCGGCTGAGGAGACGTTTCAAGGAACTTCTCAAATCTGTGGACGTTTTTATGTGGCAAACAGTGATTCGGGAAAAGCAAGCATGCATTTTCCTATAATGCATTTCCTATAATGCTTAAGCCGTCATAAATAATTTATAAGCTTAAATGATCCCTTCCTACTCGTTTACTGTTCCCTGTCACAATGTGAACAACAAATAAATACGCACTTTGCTTTCAGAACAAATACCATAAAACCTCGAAATGTTGAATTTAAATGGGCTCTCTGGGAATACAGTGTCTTCTGTTCCTTAGCTGACCAGATATCTGGCAACAGCTGTTCACAAATGTTCTGTCTTTCTGCTTTTGTAGTGTTTATATACCAAAATGAATATTCAGCAGGGGATCACGACAAGCAACAGAAACCAACCTGTTCACTGGGAACATACAATTAACATATGAGCAGCAGCAACTGGCACCACAAAAGGAGGAGAACTGAAAAGGGGAGAAGGGGAAGCCTTTCAAACAAAAGCCACGGCTGCAGAGGGTGTACGGAGGGAGAGGCATCTGGTGTGAAAAGGCAAGCAGGGAGCGAGGGGGGCAGCAGGAGCCATCGCCGCCCCGGCGCTGCGCAGGACGCGGCGGAGGCAAGGCTGGTACCAGCAGCAGAAGCTGCACCATCCCTGGGTGCTGCCCTGTGCCTGGTTTATAAGATTAGATCAAATTAGGCAATCGAAGCTATTTGAATTTCAAGTATTTCCACTCAAGGTCTAATTCAATTGTCTTGCAATTCAAGCACATGACCTTTTTCCAATGCTGTGAAGTGGGCTGTGTGAAGGATCTGAATTATCACACTGCCATGGTAAATGTTTTTTGGAAGATCTAAAAAACATATTTATTTTTTTTTACTCCATACAGTCTAAACTCCACTGTACTATGGCTGTAACGAGGAGAAGTTCAGCCAGTTTACAGTGCTATAATGACGTAAAACAGCAACCAAAAGAAGACAGACTGTATTTTGGCACAGGTTTTTGCTCATTGTTAAGCTGCCAATTTACCCATCCTTTAAATTTTTGTTTCTTGGCTGTCAGTCTGAAACATTTATTTCTGACATGATTTCAAATTTTAACTTCCACCGATGACTAAATGAGCCAAGGAAAAAATGTTTACCTATAACCTTTTAAAAAAAAAATTCAGCAGATAATTGCTGTACAAGAAAAAAGTTAATGTTATTAAGAAGAAAATAGGGAGGAGGAGGAAGAGAACAGGTAACCTACGAAGATGATATACATTAATATAAATGTGCCATTTTCCACTAGAAGAGAAGAGATCCTTAATTAACAACTGTATTGCAAATAGAGGGGAGGAGGAGTTTGCCTTAATCCTGCCAGCATGTGACTGAGAATATTTAATGACTTTTTTTCCCCACAAGATCATGACAAGTCAAAATGGTGGTAAAAACAATCATTTTATATCATTTCTATTTCAAGCAAACTTTAGTCCTCATCAAGACTTCTCAGTCCTGTGGCAAAGAAGAGCACTCTCAGTCTGAAAGCAGCTAGTGGGCTGATGTTTGTGAAAACCTATATGCTCTTTTAAAGTAGAGTTTTCCTCAGTCTTTCAAACTGACACTATTCTTCTTTGCACAGGCAATTAAATATTCATCAAGACTTAGAGCACTCCCACAGGACAGCAGGTATTTGAACTGAGGCTTCCATGCCTGGTTCTACTTTTCTTTTTCTTTAAAAGAGACTTGAAAGTCTGGGTTTCTTCCCCACTCTAAACTCAGAATCTGTAACCTTCAAGCTCTTCACAAGACTGGGAACATGAGACCACATGTTCAGGAATAAACTCGAGTAAGAAAAAGAACAGTTCTGCCTTTACTAATTCAGACAAAAGTACACAAAGAACATTTGGTCATGACAACTATGTTGTAGGCACACATTAAAATATGTACAGTAGCTACACAGATGCTACATCAACCCGATTTCTTAGTGTAAAAGTGGTTTAGATCTATATGTAATACTTCAGAGGACTAAAAACCTCCTCCTTCATTACATATTTTACTCAACACATAATGCTATATGCCAGCAAAGCAAACAGCAAACAAGTCCCCTGAAATCCTGTTCTTCCTGACCTCAGACCAGTTTAAGGCCTAGAAAATGGATTATCAACACTAACTTTTTGGCATAAATTATCATCCACCATACCTCTTTGACAAAGGCACCACAGAAAGAGATACTGCAATGTTGTAGTTTGGGTAAATAGCAGGTTTTTTTAACATCAAAACAGTAACCCAAATCAAGTCCTGTACCAAAAGAAGCATTTTCTTTCATCGTATGTAATGCTATGTCTGTGTTTTGGCTTTTCCCCATGAAATCTTACTTGGGGAGAACAGAAGCACTTTGTTTTTGTGGAACTATTCACATATGTGAATATACATCTTAAGTTTTCAATTCCATTTTCCAAAGCTAGTATTCCTGCATAACACCAAACATATTCATACAAACAACCTCACTTTCCCTCAGTCTTTTACTGTCTCTTAAAATGTTCCTTGATTATTTTTTTTTTCCTGGAAAAATATAGTTATTACAGATCCTTTCCAAGACAAGGCAGTAAGGGATAAGTACTCCAGACTCAATTTCACTAATGTATTCCTGTGATACACCATGTTTTACATCGGCTGTCCTCACATAAGAGGTTTTGGATGCCCAACATTTCCTCACAGTTACTAGATGCTCTAACAAGACTGATCAAGGAAAGCATCTAAAGACAGTGGGGAAGAAGTACTTCGGTTTGGGAAAGAAAATTTTAGAAATAAAGTGGGAAATAATCTAGACATTGAAAAATATGCCCAAGTGAAGAAACAGGGAAAAAGAAGGCAGTAAGACAACTGTATTTCTATATAAATCTATGCCCAGATACACAATAAACATACTCTATTGAACGCTGAGAAGACAGTTCAGTTTATTGACTCTTCAGTCTGAAAATACAGGGAAGCTTCTAGCTTGTCAGTTAAAAAGCCAAAGCCACACAGCTACTCACCCATCGGCCAGTTGTCATACACATGTTTTGCAATATCTGCAGCAGAGTCATTTGGTGAGAATAGGAACTCTTTCGTTTTCCCGCTTACTAAGATGAGGCGCAAATTTATCTGTAAAAAAAAACCAAAAAAACAAAAAAAAAGGCAGTATTAGGCAAATATCCAGAGAAAAATAAATAAAAAAAAATTAAAGTTACTGAAAAATAGCCATTGGTTTCAGAAGAAGATTGATCCAAAGTGATTTGAGAAAACAGTTTAAGATGGTGTTAAAAACAAGGTCAAAGAGGTCAATAAGATTTTGTTTGTTTACATATAATCTAGGAAGATTAAATTCTAACAGTTGGCATTTTTGATGATAAACCCCAGAAGATTCTGAAAGGTAGTGATTGAATCAACTGTGCCATTAAAAAAAAAACACAAAAAACCCCACAACTTTCAGTAGAGTATAAAAAAATTCCAGCTAAAACACACTGGCAACATATCTGCTTGAATGAAGAATAAAAATATAAACCTGAAAAATTAACCTGAATAAAGAGCACTTAAAATACCAAACTCTGCACCTGACTAGCCCGTGAGCCTCAGGAAAAGCCCTAGTACACTCCCTCCAGGGTGATATCTGTCAGCCCTGATCTCACCCACTGCATCTCCTACAAAACACTGGGGAGTCAGACAGCATCCTTCCTCAGTTCCAGCTGCCACAGAACTTGCATCCCTCTACCAGTCTTCTGAACTCAAAACTTTGTTTCACCACTGTCTTCCACTACAAGCAAAGCGGTTGAGATCCACACACAATACAATAATAACACATCATAGTTTTCCTATCATTGCTTTCCTTTATCTAACCATCAGCATCTTCAGCTATAATTCCCTTCTATGTGCAAGTTACTGAATATAACTCCTTCTCCATACAGCATTAAAATAACCTGTATAAAGAGCTCGCTATGACATTACTTACAATGCAAAAGAAAATAAATTTTGGATCCTCGAGTAACTGCTAGCAAGGTCACAAAATGTGTTTGAGTAGCCAGCACTCGCCAAAGCCCATGGCAAGCAGGAGTCTGGCTGCTTTTGTGTTTTGGCCTACAAGCCTAAATTGCATCAACCTTTAGCAAGACTTCAGCATACGAACTGCTTGGATACTTTTTTCCAAATCACACTCTCAAACTGTGACTCTCACTTTAAGTTAAGTTGCAACAAAGCTTTCTTTGCTGGAATTCAGAAAACTGTTTTCTAGATCAAATGCAAAAGGAAAAGTTTACAGTGATGCCCAAGTTTCCAAGACCATTTCACAATCAAAAATCTCAGCACATCACATTGACTGAACAGGACAGCCCTGCCTCAATTACCTACTCACCAGACAGATTTTCTATTCTCACTTGAGCGCTTTGGCTTGGATCCATCCCTCCTATCTTTAAGCACCTAATGGAGGTATCCAAATTATAGTCTATCATCCTGCACGCTTCAAGGTCAATGAAGAAAATGACCCCTCCAAAAAGCAATTCACTCTCTACTTCAAAGTGTAGCAAGGATAAAAAGAGTTAGCATAAAAAGGGCTAGATTCCTCTCCCTGTCCCACTGCTAACACCCTTCAGAAAATACGAGTTCTGCCATTAGCCCAGCAAAGAAGCCAAGTGGCAGCTGTCTCTGAGAAAGCATCACAGCCACTGCAAGTGCATCACTATATACCAGGAAACTGTGAACAAACTTAAGGAGAGAAGCTGC